TTCTCCTTCTCCAACGTCGGGGCAAGACTCTCCCCCATCGAGAAAAGAAAATGGATGGTGAAAACCATCCAAGAACATGAGAACATCAAAACAGAGGTCGACAAGTTCTCCCTGCTTGGTCTGGGTAGAACCATGATGATCGTGGTCTTTAAAGACGCGGATCAAGCAACACACATGTTGGAGAAATGCGAAACCTTGAACTGCAATGGATCTGTCTGCACCCTTTCACGCTGGAAACCGGAGACAGCCCAGCAATTTGAAGTCTCACCGGCTGCCTCCTACAAACAACAACTGATGAGGGAGCAGTTCTGGGTACAATTTGACAACATCCCACCTAGAGGCCATCCCCTGATTAAGGACCGGTTGGAAGTCGAATACCCCGCAAACGAAGTGCTAAAATGGGTCCTGCCCACACCCGACTTCTTGGCACCCCGCTGCGATTCCCTAACAACAATCCTGGAGGTACTGACTGACGACCCCCCGGTGTTCCCCGAAGAGTGGCAATGTCTCATTGGAGACAAAGTCACGTCTGTAACAGTGTCTACCAAAGCCTCGCCAATCTGCTTCAGGTGTAGAGAAAGAGCCCACCTGGGAACAGATCCCAAATGCCCACGCTCCCCTGAACAGAAAAAACTGAGACAGAATATGCTTGTCGAAGTTGAAGAGGCCAAAGGCATCTGGTTCGTCAATGACCCAGATTACGATGGATGGGTCTTCGACGACAATATCCCAGAGCCTAAGTGGATATGGACATACACGAACACGACCCCGACAATCAAACAGCCAGACATTTTTCCACCGTCAAACAGCAAATGGCACCACGTGGGAGCAAAGAAGATAACAGGAATCCCAGGGAAGTATACTCAGACCCGGTGGTGGACTCCCGTGCGATCAAAGAAGAAAAGAAACACGAAGACTTGTTGTGGGACCTTGAGTCAATCAGACAGCACACCGCAGACGTCCTCACCAAGCGAGAAGAGGACAACGACATCCTGGACGCAGCCAAATAGATCATCGAGGGACGCACCCTACGGACCGACCCCTCCCTCAAGAGACAGGCCTCCCCACAAAAGGAGAACACCGACACCGAGCGGGGAAAAAATAAGAAAGAACAACTCAACTAAAAAGGGAACCCCCCCCCTGATCAGGGCCACAGACTCATCATTTGAAGGCCTCACAAGAGCAATGGCGGCTTTCCAGCGGGCGTCTGAGATGAAAATTAACTGGCCAAAAATGATTGGCTGGTGGCTTCCCTACGACGGTCAACAAGTACAGCCTCAACCACAAAACTATGGGGGAATGAGCTGGATACCATCGGATCAACCGCTGAAATACTTAGGGATTAGACTAGTAGATACAGGTCCACATCACTCGATGGCATCGGAGCAAATGACGAAAATGTTAACCAAGCTTTCAGCCTGGTCGGAGATCTACACTTCCTTGTTTAGCCGAGCACTTATATTGAACGCCTCTATCTTCTCGATGCTATGGAACGTGGGATCAATCTGGACGCCTCCAACACAGTCACTCAAGAAGCTCAGGAGGGCGGCAGCAGCTTACTTGTGGATGGTGAACCCCACTAAGCCCAACTTTATATCCAAGGTAGCATGGAGGCAGGTCATTACTCCAGACTAAATGGGTCATCAAGCTGTTAACTCATCCTTGGCTCCAATGGGTCCCTTTGGTACTAGAGCATATCTGTACGATGGCCACATACAAAACCCCACCTAATATGGAGGGTACCTTCTGGCTATTCTGCAAAAGCGGGGCCAAGAAAGGAGGAGCACGGGCTGAGGGGGGAGAAGCGGATCCAAGCAGGAGTTCGTACTGGGCCCAAATCCTCAAGATATGGGGGGAGATCTTCCCGACAAGAGTAAGACAACCGACTACGAAGGAGGAAGTGATCAGACAACCCTTCTTCTGCAATCCATGGTTGAAGGACTTTCAAGGAAGGCCCAGAACACTAACAGCGAGGGATGCCAAGTGGGGAACCTGGCTTGAACATGGGGTCTGGCAAGTAAAGCACCTCTGCAGATGGAAAACAGGCAGAGAACTGAGGGAGGAAATGAAAGGAAGCCACAAACTGTTTGAAAACCTTAATGACATACTTATTTCCATTCCGGACGAGTGGACGCAGTTGTTCAGGGGCCTGTACCAATGGAGAAGGGGCGACTGGGCAACCTGGAGTCTTAGTGATGAGCCAGCGGAAGCCTTTCGTATAGGACAACTTGTAGGACCAACCAAACAATGGGCGGATGCCGACATGTACATAATCTCAGCTCTTGGAGCCACAGTTAGTCAACTAGACAAGGAATCACGTACTCCGATCACCATCAAGCAAGATAGCTTGACGAAGGTCAGGGTTATAGAGACGGAGGATTTTACAATCTTCGCCCCGACAACCAAGATTCAGAACCTAGAAATTGATCCAGCAGAGTGGGCTTGGAACATCAGGGGGGGCACGTTACGAGTTGCCAGGAGAATTAACATATTTAATTACACTACCAAGTTGGGGTACCGTCTCAGGAAGCGGTCAATCCAGCTGGACCGTCCTCTGTCGATAAGATGGGAAAAGAGGGTCGAAATACAGGTCAGGCAATTACCCTGGTCGAGCTTACACAGTATCAGGCCGAGGAAGGTCAGGAGCATGCAGTGGCTCGTTTTCCATGTGGCACTCCCAGTCAATGCTTGGTTGTATGATAAGCGAAGCAGGCACCACAGAGACGTAGCAGAACAAGCATGCTCCAAGTGCACGGGAGGAGTACCTGAAACCCTGGCGCACTGCCTACTGCAATGCCCTGAAGCGGAAGACCTATGGACAGTCGCTCGAACACTGTGGACGCGTATTACAGCGGCCCCCTTCCCACAACACAGGAGATCATTACTGATAGGAAGTGAAGTACCCAAGGGGTGGCAGTCCAGCCAGAAATACATCTTCCAATTACTAAGGCAGTACACATTATGGACTATCTGGAAACAGAGATGCCAACGGATGATTGGGAAGACACCGATGGCCAAAGTAGAAGCCAAGGCAACACTTTACAATCTATTGGAGACGGAGATCAGAGCCCAATGGCAGAGGACAAAAAGGCAAGCATCATTAAGCCAGAAAAGGCGAAGGATCTCTTGATTAAATTCCAGAAAAACATATTGGCCTAGAGCAAAGTAGCTACTATCGAAGGAGTTAGGATGGTCTTCCATTGGTTCCAAGAGGGACAACAAGGGATACCCATGGGGGATCCGTTGGACACCCCGGATCTTAGGCTAACATAGAAAAGGGAGGGGGGCGTTGGAGGGTTTAGGGTTTAGTCAGCTCGTGAGGCAGGRCTTAGCGTTGGAGGGTTTAGGGTTTAGTCAGCTCGTATGGCAGGGTTTAGGGATTAGGGGTTGGGGCTTACACAAAGTCAAGGTAAGCGGAGATCAGAATGGTAGAGATTCTAAAGGGTCATGTGGCGTCTTTCAGATACGTAACAGAGGAGTTTGTGGTGGAAGCTTCTTATTAAAATAAAAAAAAATAAAAAAAAGGATAGCTTAGACAGGGGTATAGGGTGGTACATCCTTCCTTGAAGAAGTAAAACCAAGGATTGAGGGTTAGGACCGACTCAAGACAAATAGGGTTAAGGATTCAGTTTTTCAAGAAATCCACAAAGTGTTCATGAATGCTCTAGCATAACACACAGACCTGACAGCATTGCAGCTGAGAGGAGCAGGACTGTGACCAGTGGAATTAGCAAGGACCTTCTAGATTAAGTAGCACATGCTAACTTAAGCAGGGGTGAGAGGGGGTACATCTTTCCACAAGGAAGCGATCAATGCCGCCCACTTGGGCCTCCCAGCCATAATGGGGAGGAGTGAGTGAGTTTCCTATGTATTCCATCGACTTGCCAAGGGGAATAGGAACCGGATTGTTGCTCCTCAGAATGGCAGGAGCCAGAACCAAGAGGTTCTGTTTTTTCCAAAAAAAAAAAAAGGGAAACCCCCCTGCTGACACACAGAGCTCACAGGAAACCTCGACTGAATCAGACCCCAACCCAATAACAGATCCGGACTGTACCCACAAAGGAATGGACAGATCTCCCTCCAAGAGCGACAGGGAAGACAAACCAAAAGAACAGGGAGATTGCCCCATTGCTTGGCTGCAGGAATATCTGGAAAGGGCCAGAAACGAGAGGGAGAAAGAATTCGACATCAGAGTGGCGTGCATGAAGCATCAAGAGAAGACAGGTCGGAGCAGCAAAGGCCTGGTAGCGAGCATCCACACATCCACGAACACCTACGACATCCTGAAAAAACAGAGTGAGTTGTCAGAATTCAACGCCTTCATATATCACGAGAAGAAGAGGGAAAGACACAACTCGAGCTCTTAATCCGGATCCAACGCAGAAACTCAAGCCCACAAGGACCCAATCAGAGACATGGTACCAAAGAAGTGGAAGCCATCAAAGGGCAGGGTCAAGAGATCCAGAAAATTCACAACGGATACAATAGGAAATGGCAATGAGCAGCGATCGCTCAAACAGGAGATCGCCATCGTCGCTGCTCAGACAAAGTGTCTGTTTGATCAGAACATGGAATACCGAAAAAGCCACAAAAAAGAATATTGCACCATCCAAAATGTGGCAGACAACAAGGCCCCCCATGTCACTGAGAAAACTACCTCAGATCGCAAAACCATCAAGCCAGTTAGACCCCTGGTCCCCATCCGGTACAGAAAGAAGTTTGGGGAGTGGCAGGTAGCCACAGACGTATCCTTCGCATTCCCGACCGCGGGAGACCACCGGACATTGGCCAAAACAATCATGGAAGGCATACCTGAAGACCCCCCCCCTAGGAGTCTTCGGAATCCCCACCCCCCTCGCAGCAGACTCAGAGGAGATCGACCAGGAACTTGCCACAGCCAGATCTTTTGAACCAATCCTTGTAAAACTAGAAGAAAAATGGGGGCTGCATGAGGGGCTGATGTGGAGAGCATGCAACACTGTGACCATCCTGCCATACAGCACATTTGCAAGCAAGATGTGCCCGGCGAAGGTTATGGCCGATTCCCTGGCCGACATCATCAGATCCCACATCCTCTTCACAGAACACTCCCTACAGGATGAAGCTAAGCCGCTTTACCTGAAACCGGAAGATGAGGATAGGCACATGGGCGAATATGACGACGACGAAGAGCTGAACGAAAAGATATCCTCGGGCAGTGACGGGACTGGTACCACCCCAGCACCTAAGCGCAGCATGGGGGGATACAGCCTGGGATCTGCCGTTGGGAGAAGGGCAAACGACGACAGTGGAGAACCCGGAGGAATCGGAGCTGACAGCGTAGGGACCACGACAGCGGCTGATTAAAGACCCCCCCCCCCCCAACTGAACTCCGCACCACAACCGCCACCCCAAAGAAAATAAAAAAAGAAAATTTGCACACAGCAACCCGTCAGACGTAATCGAATGGGTGACAACAATAATCACTCTCGTACGGTGAGAACGGACTGGCAAGCAAAAGGACTGACGATCCACAGTTGGAACGTCAACGGCATGGGCAACATTCTCACCGAAGACGACAAACTACGAGGCATCAGACTCAGCCTCACAGACAAAAGAAAGCCCAAACCCGACGTCATTCTCCTACAAGAGACCCACCTATCCAACCTCACTAACCACACAAGAATAAAGAGGACCGTGGAGAAAAGCCTAGGGGGTTGCCCATTCACACTGTGGTCCAACAAAGCGGACCAAAGCAACTGCGACACAACAATCCTTATACCAACTACCTCCAAAATCTGGTCTGAGGGTCTGGTAAGTAACGGCGAAGGAGACACAACGGAAGGGAGATGGTCATGGATCCAAATTACATGGCAAGGGGAAGAGATCAGGATCCTAAACCTATACGCCCCCAACACGGAAGACGAACGCCGAGTTTTTTTTTACCACATCAAATCACTATTCCCGACCCCCCTACCGCTAATTATAGCAAGTGACTGAAACACCACGTTGGACCCCAGCCTGGATCGTATCTCCCGAATAGTGTTGTTGGGGCCCACAAGACCTAGCACTCACCTACGGAACATCATGACAAAGTTTGACCTGGTCGACCCATTCCGAATCCTGCACCCACGCAAGAAAGCCTTCTCCCTAGTCAAGAGGAACCGCTCTAACCACACGTCATTATCACGAATCGATTTCTTCTTAATTTCTGACATGCTACAGGGGGCAATCAAGGAGGCCGGTATCCTACCAGCAGCAGCCTTTAAGAGGCTCGACCACAAACCAACCTACTTGCTCCTTAACTTCAATTTTCTGGTAGAAAAAGGTCAAGGCTTCTTCAGACTTAACAACTCACTCCTCTCCACATAACACATGATCGAGGCAGACAGATGGAACTGGCGGTTCATACAACAAGACGCGAAGAAACGCCAGGACATGCACAAATGGTTCATAGACAGCTATATGACTTGGCTCAGACGGTCTCAACAGAATCTAGAAGCATAGCAGCAGAACGCAAACACATGAAGGAAGAACTTCAAGTCACACTCGACATCGCAGAAACCAACCTAGCATATGATCCCTCCAACTCCTTCTACCACAACCTACTTCAATCTACCAAGGACGAACTAAATGAACGGAGAAGATGGGAACTGAGAGGCCTACAGATACGCGCCTGAATGAATGACTACATCTTGAATGAATCCATGTCCAAGTTCTTTCTTCCAAGATCAAGGCTAACACAAGGAACAACACAATCGAGGGGCTGAAGGACCCAACAGACCAGGGCACGACAAAGTCAGCCGGCGCAGACATGGTAAGAGTAGCCAGGTCCTTCTATGCCGACCTCTACGAGTCTAAGACCCCCTCCCCCCCTCCAACAACAAATATCGATGCCGGTCAACACATGATGACCTACCTAGAGAAAACGATCACCCAAGAACAAACGGAGGACTTGGATAAACCAATCACCATAGGTGAACTTCACACATGGATAAACCAATCACCATAGGTGAACTTCACACAGCCTTGTTCCAGATGGGAAACGACACAGCACTCGGAATTGATGGCCTGTCCAGAGAATTTTGGATCCAGTTCTGGCCAACATTGGGCAACGACCTCTTGAACTTCATCAATGACAGCAGAGAAAAAAGAGGCCTGGGTCAATTCCTAAGCACCAGCGTAGTGTCGCTAATATACAAAAAGGGCAATAAGGAGGACCTCAAGAACGACAGACCAATCTCACTTCTCACAATGTCGTACAAAATCCTAGCAAAGACATTAGCCAACAGAATCATAAAACTAACAGACAGTTGCTTTCACATCGACCAAGCAGGATTCATCCCGGGTCGATACATCCTAGATAATGTGATGGCTATAAACGAGGCCGCAAAGAAGATCACGGAAAAACGAATGCAAGTAGCGATCTTATTCTTCGGCTTTGAAAAGGCATATGATCAAGTCAATTGGGACTTCCTCCACAGATGCATGGAGAAGATGGGAGTCGGCCCAAATTTCAGAGAGTGGGTTAGAGTACTCTACGGGGATGGCATGGGCAGGGTGCAGATAAACAGAATACTGTCGGATACCTACCCGATATCGAGATCGGTCCGGCAAGGCGACCCTTTTGCACCCCCAATATTCCTGTTCATAATGGAAGCCATAACATCGTTCATGTGCAAGGACCCGTCCATAGACCGCCTGACCGATCAAAACCACACCCCCCTCCACAACTTTGCTCTCCCCACAGCACAGATGTTCGCGGACGATCTCACGGTCCTCATCCGCGCTAATAACTCCTCCTTCCAGGTCTTGGTGCAAGCCATGGAAGCCTTCAGACTCGCCTCAGAAATGAAGGTAAACTGGTTGAAAACGGAAGGTGGTGGCTTGCAGAGGGCACCCCCCCCCAACCCCAGACCCATCCACCCCAATGTCTTGGACTACAGGCGACCAAGCACTCCGATATCTAGGCATTATGGCAAACAGGGATGGCATCTGGCAAGGAATGGGGGAGACTCTACTCACCAGAGCAATAACCCGGTTAGCCACCTGCAACAAGGCCTAGGCCTCCCTTCTAGGGAGAGCCCTGATCATCAACACAACAGTATTCTCCACTTTGTGGTACATGGCCTCCATATGGTGCCCGCCCGACGACGACCTGAAGAAGCTGAAGGCTAGAGCCAGGTGCTATCTGTGGACTGGCGACCCCAGCCGAACCTCCTGCATAAACAAGGTAGCCTGGCAAACTGTCATCAGGAAACCACAAGAAGGAGGACTAGGTATAATCGACCCTAAACGTGAAGCGATCGCCCTCCAAATGAAATGGATAATCAAAATCCTAACCAAACAAGCCTTCCCGTGGACCAAGATGGCGGTAGACAGCATAAGGAGTTTGGCACCAGTAGTGACCCCGTCGAACATGGGTGACCTGTTCTAGATCATGGCAAAGGAATGGACAATCAAATCTGGGAGATCAGTAAGGAAAACTAACCCAGCGACCCCCATTCAACCCCCCACTACACCCACCCCCTACTGGTCACCGATCCTGAAGGTCTGGCGTCGTCTGATACCAGAAAAGAAAGAGCCCCGAGCAACAAAGAGGAAGTCCTACGACAGTCCCTGTTGTGCAACCCCTGGATCAAAGACACAGAGGGCAGACCGTGGACCCTCTGGGCCAAAGACCGGAGATGGTTGTCTTGGGTGGAGAGAGGAGCATGGCAGGTCAAACATCTGTGGTCCGAGGAAAGACAAGAATGGCTCACCTCACAGGACCTTCGCACTCCTTTAAAAGGCTGCCACCTACTGACCACCAACCTGGTAGAAATCCTCCAAAGCATTTCCCCCCATGGACGACCCTCCTAAAAGAGACACATACATGGAAACCAGAAGACTGAGGACTACTCACCACACAGACCCCACCAACAAGAGCGTATTGCTTCGTGTCAAAACCAGACTCAACTAACTACCAGGCCAATTTCGTATCCGACCCCATCAACAAACACAACATATATGAACTCGAGGTCCTAAACAAAACACCACAGCACGAACAAATAGAAACCTACCTCCTCAGGAAGGTAAGAGTCTCCCACAAGAAACCCTGGTTTATATTCCAGTCGGAACTCGGCATCAAAGAGCTGGAATTCGACCCAAAGGAATGGATATGGGATCTGGGTGTGGCCGGTAAATCAAGGACGATAACAAAATACGACGTTAAGCTCGGATATAACCTCGGGCTACAAACCAAAGACCTGAATCCAAGGCTGGCAGAGAAATGGAGAACCATACTGAACCTAGATACCACGACCCCCATCTGCATCACATGGACCAAACCTTCTCATCAGACCAATTAGAATCCGAAGTATGCATTGGCTAATAGCACATGCAGCCCTTCCAGTCAACCAATGGCCACGCGTGCGAAGGAAACATTCCGATCCTGATAGCTCAGAATGTTGCTCAATGTGCAACAACGACTCACCCGAAGACATCCCCCACTGCCTCCTCTTCTGCCCAGAAGCAACCTGGATATGGAAGAAGGTCCGTGAGCTATGGTCGATCCTGTTCACTTCGCCCCCCCCTAACATCCCCCCTTTCTCTATCCTACTCCTAACTAACATCCCCAGCAACATCACAAGCAAGCAGGGAAGTATGGTTCACCCTGCTCAGGAAGCTGGCTTTGTGGGTGATATGGAAGCGCAGGTGCACTCAGACAATCGAGGGAACAGAGGTGGCAAGGGAAGAAATGTGGTCGCTACTGCTGAGCATGGCAGAGATGGAGATCAGGAGCAGATTGCGGAGAATAGTGAACTCCACGAGGCACAGACCAGAAGGACAAGCAACCAAGAAACGTACTTTCATAAGGAACCGGTTGCTAAAGGGCAAGGTGGCAACGATAGGCGGCAACAAACTGAGATGGAAGAAATGGCACCAGACACAATCATGAAGACTATGAGGGTACCTGCCAGGTGACCTGGCTGAAGGCTCTGTATGATGATCAACAAAAGGAGAACCGGAAACACAGGGAAGGACAAGGATAAACAACAGAACACAGAGCGGACCCCCCCACTGTTCTCGTAAGACAGGGACTCATTCGACAGGCCATAAGTAGAAGCCTGAGAGGAACAGATGGTCAGGGCAAGCTGACAGTCAATCCTCCTAGAATGGAGTAATCAATGTTGGTCAGGGGTCCTTCGGCCAGACGGAAGGAAGCGTTGAGTGAGTAATATGTTCTAACCCTTTTTCGACTTGCCGGGGGAATAGGAACCGGACTGACGCTCCCCAGAATGGATATGGAGCCAGGACCATAAGGACCTGTTTGGAAAAAAAAAAACAATGTGCAAGGC